TGCCGGGAAGCAAGCGTGCAGTTATGTTGGTACCTAAAGGCATGTAACTGAGACAGCTAGATGGCTCCCCTCCCAGGGGCGTTTGCCTACTCTGAAAACACGAGGCCCAGGGGAAGGAGTCTAGCCAGGAATCCCTGGTTACCTCTCAGAAGCCATGAAACTGTTTCACAAGTGAACCAGAAGAGTTCGAAAGGCCATGGTTCACAGAGACCCCTGGTTTGTGCTTCTCACTTTCAGCTTTGCAGCTTTTCTCCAGCATCATCAGGCAGGCTCCCAGGAGGCTGAGCCACTCCTAGCTGGCCTGTCTGTGAGAGGGGAGAGGGGCTGTGGCATCCTGGGCTCCAGGCAGCAGAGAACATCCAAGCCCTGTGCTGCTCAGCTTTTCGATGCTGATGGCAAGCATGCCCAGTCTGTGACAAATAATGGCAGATGTCTTCCTTCTAGGAGATAGATAGTTCTTTTCTTTTTCCTCTTGGTTTAACATGGATATTAGTGTGGCTTACTGGATCTGTGAGTTGTGCTGAAGCTATGAACTTGTAAACGATGGTTGTGCGTCAGCAGCCTGGGGTGCGTTTTTTTTAATTTCTGTTGCAGTTCCCAGGCTGGCAGTAATAATAGAGGCTAGTATGCGCAGTAAGATGTGGATGTTCAAGGACTGATTGTAGTTTAGAGACATGCTATAAACGTGTTCAGTCCTCACATATAAGGCAAGATTACATGGAGAATTAAACCTTGGTGTGAAGTTTTATACGGGGTGGGGGGGTGGGGGGGGGCGGGGCACGGCGCAAATATGTTTCACTTCTCAAAAACAGTGTGGACCACAATGTTTGTGTTTGTGGGTTTTTTGCTGGGTTTCCTTAAGACATTCACACACGGGCACACACCCCTGCTCAGAGAAGAAAAATCCATCCCCCAGTAAACATTTAAACAGAACAGAGTGGAAGGAAGAAGGGAGGAGATGCCACTCTTTATCCTTCCGTTGAACAGATTGATAGCTCTGGGGACATGCTCACACCCCATACAGCTCCAGCTCCAGAGCCAGGGCACCCTGTAGTTAGTAGGGTGATCTGTTTGCTAGCAGGCTGCCCAAGTTGTGGAGGAAGAAGGGAGGGACCTCTTGGTTCTTTGCTTTGGAGGAATATTTGCACTGCATTTTGAATAAGCAGTGGTTTTGTTTCCAAGCACAGAAATGCCAGGGGAACTTGTGCCCCCTGTATGCTCTGGGGAGCCATAAAGGAGAAATAGGTGGTTGCTATTAAATGGATCCAGATGTGGTTCACAAGCCATGTATGTCTAATGGAGCTATTGCGGCAGTGTTGATCAAACACAAGACAGACACTGTTAACTCTCTTTAATGGTATTCCATCTTCTGCAACAAAATCTTGGCAACCATAATTGCCTAACTGTATTTATAATGATTTTTTCATAAGGCTCAGGGAGAGCAAATAAATAGAGCTAAGTAATGGCAGCTGGAGATTTCATACTCTAAATTGTTATACAGAAGTGAAGGAAAATGAAAATGCAATTAAGAGCCCTAAGTCTTGAGCACGTGGATAAATCAAGCACCAAGACAAGTAAGAAACTGGTATTATAGTATTAGAAAAATTTTTGCCCTTGAAACTGAATATATTTGTTCTCGCAGCATCTTTCATTGACGTGTAGCAGGGCTGATTTATGGAAAACAGAAGTTAAGCACAGCCTACCTAATTTCACTGTTATGAAACTGAAACTCGTGCTGTGGAAACACATATCCTAGAACCTATTGCAGTCTTCCTGCGGTTGAAGTGGGACAAAGTGATCTTGGACAGCAATTTCTGTGTTGTGTCTCTGCTTACACTGTTTTACATTTAGTACCTATTCAAGACAGGGAGATACTCCAGCATTTAACAGTCTTAAATTGAAAAAAAAAAAAAATATTTTTTTTATTTTATGTTCCCCACAGTTTGCTGAATGGTGTTTGGAGTATGGTGCGCATGGATGTCGTATTCCTGACCGACCTTATTCTCTTTTTGAAGGTAAAGTGATGGTGTCGCAAATGGTATCATATTCTACAGGAAAGAGGGGCAACCTTGGCAGTTTTGGCACATGCTTAGGAGTTAGGAAGTCTTTGATGGGTTCCACAAGTATTAAAAATAGACCTGCTCCCTACCACCACCTCTGACTAAAAGAAGCTGGGGGGGGGGCTGTGGTGTGGTCTTGCATTTCATTTTGTGTTTCAGCAGTTTCCAACGTAAAGCCAGTGCCACTGTTGTTCTTGAATAAAATTCTGCTGTGCTAATGCCTCTTGGCCTAAAGCAAACAGAAATCTGGGCAACAGTTTTGTCCTAGGTGCTGTTGCAGAGGGACTGGGCAGAGGAGCAGCTGTGGGTAGGGGGTCTCAATGTAGTTGCTGGCTCGTCAGAACTAGACCACCTCTGCTGCACTCTAAAGCAAGAAGCTAATTTTAATGTGAACCCAGATCACTTGAACAGAAAAGAAATGCAGGTTCTTGGGGACTTTTCTATAAGTCCAGAGATGGTGCTAAATACTTGCCTAGAGCTTTGCCTTTTTTTTTTTTTTTTAATTTGTAGTTTGTTTTCTATTCCCTAGCTCATCCTTATGTTTTAGAAACACGGTGGCAAGGAATCATAGACCCGAGCAGGATTTGTTCACCTCATGAACAATGAGCCTAGTCTGCCACCTATCACAAATACGTGAAATTACAGCAGACCGAGGTTTACTTTACAAACAAACCAGTACAAGAGAGCAGTAGTTACATGCATCCCTTCTAAATGCAGAGTTTTTGTCTTAATGTTTAAGGGAGAAAAGTATAAGTATTCTTACTCCTGAGAGCTCCCTTGCATGCACTCGTAAAGGGGACAAAGCTAGTATACAATCTGTTAAGAGCTTTGAAATCTGTTGAGAAGGTGGAGTTGTACCAACAGTAGGATGGTTTGTGCTTTAATGCTGACATACAGCTTTTACTTTAGTTTCTTAATGTCAGTAATTTTTTTTTTAGTAAAATCTAGAAGTTTCAAATTTGAGACAAAAACATCTTAATTTGGGGATTTTTTTGGGGCCAAAATTGTATGTGAAGTTATCCGATTCTGCATGTATGTGCGTGCTTTCAGTGGAAGTTGCACATGCATCTTATGATTGCGTTAATTGTTTCATTTGCATCACATGCTGTATTTCAGGAAGGTTGCTTTGTTTGTATGTGCTTAGCTGTTGATAAAGTAGCGTTTTAACTTGATCGTAAAACCGAGTTTGTATTTGTACGCTCCCCTGCTGTAGGGTGCCTCTGTTGTCTGTCACCCTAAGAGTTTTATTAGGGGATGCTGGTGTTAGTGCTTCAGGCTCTGGATGATCTCTTTATGAATACTGAACAAATGAACCTGTACATCACAAGTGTAATAAAGTTTTGCCTTTGATTTTTTTTTTTAACCAGTGGAATGATGAGCGAGAGCTGCTCAAAGTCTGAGGGACAGTCCAAATTGGGATTTACTTTTTCTTAATTGAAGTAGCGTTGAGGTTGTGCAGCTGAAAAGATGGTGGCAGAGATCTTTGTTCTTGCCTTTGATCTTTTCAAGTGAAACTTGGTTTCCTGGGCAAAGTACAGATGAACTTGCCTTTCTACAGGCCTTAAGTTCACCTGTTCAAAAAAAAAATCTAGCGAGGAGGTGTTCAAACAGGTGCCATTACCTTTGTTGTCAGCTGTGCTATATTAAGGTCAGAGATGCACAAAGATCTCTTTCTTGCTATGTTTTAGGCATGGCTGGAGCTATTCACTTCCTCTCAGACATTTCAGTACCGGAGACTTCCCAGTTTCCAGCATTTGAACTTGGACCTCAAAGGAGGGAAAACAAAGTGGAAGAGGACAGCTAAAAGATCATTCTGAAAGGAAACTGATGCCAGAAGAGATGAGACTGTTTAGTGCCTCTGATACTGAACCAACTTGACCCTGAACCGACGGATGGATAAACCTCTTTTCTCACCCTCCCCTGCCCCAAAGGACCGTGAAGTCATTACAGCATGAATGGGAGAAGCCACATTTAAGTTCTGTCAAAGTGACACCTTCAGATGCAGGACAAGAGAAGTCAAGTTTTGAACTTTCTCTCTTCCATTGTCTTCTTCAGGTCTTTGACATGCTCTGCATGTTTATTGGTGTTGTGTGTTGATTCGAGTCTGTTGTTGTTAGCAAAAAGCTGGTCTCTGTGTGAATGTCTGTCCTGTACCTTCGTGCATGACTCACAGCAGCAGTGTTGCTTTCTGCAGTGTGGTTACCCAAAGAGTTCCACCTTAGGTCAGAGAGTTTGCTGCAGGACAGTGCCCAGCTTCACTGGTGAGCTGGAAACTGTAAAAAGAGATGAAAAACATTTTTATGTTCATATTTTTTCTGCATTTTTCTCTACAGTCTCTAAAAGCTAAGGTGATGGAGATCAGCCTTTTCTTGATGAAGAGGTATGAAGCCATCTCTGTTTTCAGAAGCTTAGCAGGTTGGAAGGGACCTGATTTGTGTTTTGCTGCCCTTGTAGGAAGTTTTTTTTGAAAGCCTGAAAGAGAGGCTCCCTTTGATACCTGCACTGGTTAGTGTGTTAGGCACTTACAGCAGCGGGGGGAGATGCTTGTCCCTATCTCTGCAAAGCCCCATCCCATGGCATGAGCTTAAACTGCAGGTGGAGTCACCCACACTAACCTCCTGCTGCCACTAGCTGCAGTGCAGGGACAGCATAACTGTGCTGCTTCTCTCCTGCATGTGGATTTGTAATAAATCTGTCCTGCAGCATCTGGTATACAAATGAGTAAGGGAGGGTGTCAGGGCAGTTTCTCTTGCCTGGTAGCTGGGTTGCTTCCACACCAAGTCGGTGATTTGTTCGGGGCCCTTCCCTCCCTCTCCCAGCCCCACTGTGTTTAGCCCATGGGGTATGACAAAAGTGATAAATACCAGCTGCATGTGGAGGCTGCAGAAGATTAATGACCAATATGAAAACATTGCTAGAGGCTGTAATTGAAGTTTATTTCATCCTAAAATCCAAACAGAAAAAGCCCTTTGCATCCTGAGTTTTAACTGTGCCTCCTCATGCTTTGCTTCCCCTTGTAGTGTGGCGGGGTTGTGAAATACTAGAGCTGCCTCCAGGTGCTCCTGTGTATCAGGCAGCAGGTTTGGGAGAAGTGGGATGTATTCCAAGTACACTTACAGCAGGCTTCCATATTCCAGATAGTAAGCACGCTTACTGCTTGAGAAAGGTGAGTGCAGCATGCTCTTCACTTGTTCAAGCTCTGTTGTCATCCTTCCCCTGGGTCTCGCTGTGCTCTGTCATTGCAGGTGCTTATTTTAATTTATGTCTTCTGTCGGGCGTGAGTGTGACAAATGGCAGAGAGTTTGACCTTTCAGGCATGCATGGAGGTGAATGTGACCTGTGGGCCATCTGCTGAGCACCAGCGTTTGTGGTCAGGCGTGGAGGTGCATTGCTGCTCCTGCATAAATCTGAATGGTCACAGGTGACTTCCTTGAACTTCATAGTGTCTGTTGCCAAATCCATTGGGATGTTGATAATCTCTGCATGCGGTTCTGGTGGGCAGCAGCAGCAGCGCCAGTGCAGGGACAGCTTAATGTCACAGTGTAGCTCCTCTGCTGGTTTGTCAGGTAGGGCTAAAACAGGGGAGCAGCAGAACGGACTTTCCCACCCCTCTGGCAAAGGGCAGAAGATGAGGTGAGGGGCACCAAACCCAGCTCCATCAGTACAGCCAGGGATGAGGGAAAATGCTGACAGGCAGTGGGAGCGAGGGAAGCCGTGTGGCAAGCCACTGGGGTTGAAGCAAACCGCAGCAGAGCGGGAGAAAGTAGAGGGATTAGTGAGGAATGGCGAGAGGTGATGACGGGAGGCGATGCACAGTGTGTACCAGTAGAGGCCATCTCAAATGAGACGTGCCTCCATGGCAGGTCTTGCTCTGCGTTTCTTTCTTTATCCTCTGGATCGCTGATCCTGCCCGTAAATAAGCCGGGGAGGAAACTTCTCTGGGGTGACGTCTCACAGAAATTCTAACAAAGGAGGTAGATGGCAGCTCTCAACCTGTTTCATACCACCCCCACTCCTTTTTTCCTTCCCCTCGGCTGTGACTGCAGAGCACGGGGGGTGGGTTAACAGGGAAGGGGTTTGCCAGGTTTGCAGGAACCACCAGCAAACACAGAAGAGAAGCCACCAGCCTTGCTAGCAAATCCCAAGCATGGGTTGTGCTGACCACTTAACTAGGGGGTCAACAGGCAGGCTTTTTCATTCGGCGATTATGCATCTGTGCCGCGTTGGTGCTGAGCTTGGAACAGCACCTCTGGGAGGTGATTTTGGCCGGCTGGAGCCCAAGGGGACTTAAAACTTGCTGGTTTAAAAAATACATAGGCGTGTACACACTTAGAACAACTTAGTAATGAGCAGATTTTCAAAGATGCTTGACTGCACCCATCAAAATAATGAGCAGGTCAGCTACCAGCTCTTTCTGTACCGTAGCCAGCCTTCTGCTGCGGTGGGGCCTGTCACCATCTTTCTCTGCAGAATCCTCTTGGAATGGAGCAAGACAGGAAACGTATCGATTCGGGAAGCGTCTGTCAGTGCATCTGCCTCCTCTTCCTGATGCGACTTTCCCTGTGGCTCCTCCTGTCTGTGCGTCACAGCGTTGTGATATCTAGGTGGCCCACTAAGAAAGGTTATTGTTGTGAAGGTGAAAAAATGCATTTCACCAAGACATTGTTTTCAGAAATCACATCAAACTAAAAATGTGGAAAATGTCTTAATCCCTGGTTTGTCTGTGTGTAATAGTCCATCTGTTGCAAAAGCAGTAGTGTTAAAAATGGAGATGCTCTTTGGGCAGAAAAAGAGGAAAAAAATGCTGATGTTTTGTTCTTTGGCTTTATTAGTAAAGATCAAGCTATGTGGTGGTAATTTGTGTGACTCTCTTTTTCCTGTTGTACTCCTTCCTTCCTCCAGCCCTGTGGTGGCAGCT